AGGATGAGCAGAAGAGGCTCCTGGTCACAGTCTGGAACAGAGAGAGGAATTCCAGGTAAGGGGCTGCCAGCTGTCAGAGGATCCTTTTCAGGTGTGGCTGCTGTGGCAGAGACCCTGTCCCCTGCTCTGGTCACCCCATGTGAGCTCCTCCAGGGCCCCATGGGCTGGCCCTGACCTCAGGGCTGCTCTGCTCAAGGCCTTGGGCCAGGGATGTCCCAGCTGGGTCACACTCGTGGGCAGCCAGTGCTGGGGAGCACCATGGGCAGCAAACCCTGCCCTTGGCACTCTGCTGGTGCTGCCTGGTGGCCACCAGCATTTAAACCCCTGTGGCCACTCGTGCCTGCACTGTTGGCCAAAGGCAGGTGGGGCTGGGGTGGGCTGGGACCTCCCCTCCCTGTGGGGACAGTGCAGGGGGGCACAGGGGGCTGGCACCTTGCAGGCTGTGCTGCCAGCCCAGCAACACCACCTTGGCCAAGCTCCTGCCAGCACCAGGTGGGCTGGAGGTGACCAGGGGGCTCCAGCCCAGCTCCTCCTTGCCCTGCAGGTGTGCTCACACCAGGGGCACGTCCTGGGCACTGCCTGGCACCCAGCATGGGCAGGGATGTTGGGGTGAAATGGGGTGCCAGGGGGGATCTGGTGCTGACAGTGCCTGAACTCTGGTTTGTCCTGCAGGCAGAGTGAACTCATTGGCTGCATGAGCTTTGGTGTGAAGTCCCTCCTGTCCCTGGACAAGGTACCTCCGTGTCCCAGTGCAGACTGTGGGGCTGGGGCAGGGCTGTGGGGCTGGGGCAGGGCTCTCTGGGCTCTCTGGGTGGATGAAAAGGCTTTTCCCATGGTGGGAGAGGGTGCCTGGGGAGTTGCCTGCTCCCATTCCCAGTGTGGATGGGCAGTGTGAGGCTGGGTTGCTGTGGGTGCTGGGGTGGTGGGGAGGCTGTCACAGGAGGGATCCTGGCACAGGGGGTGTCACTGAGGGCATCCTGGCACAGGGGTGTCACTCCCTTTGGCAGGGACACAGAGTGGCAGCGATTGGGGGTGCACAGAGCTGTCCCTCCCCCCCAGTTTGCAGGGGGGGACACAGGACATAGGGCCAGGCTGGCACGGGTCACATCTGACCCATGGGACACACTCAGGAGTGTGCTGATGATGGGCACAGAGCAGCCACAGAGGTTTTTTTTGGCTGTTCCTGCAGGAGTTCTGTGCCAGAATCCCCGTCCCTGCTGCCGAGGGTTTGGTCACAGTGCTGCTGCCCCAGCCTGGCTGCTGCTGGTCAGTACAGCCGGCTCTGCTACCCGAGCAGGGATCCCGGGGAGCACCATAGCCTGGGAACGCTCCATCCCATGGGAGTGCTCCATCTTAAGGGAACTCTTCATCCTATGGGAGCTCTTCATCCCATGGGAATGCTTCATCCTAAGGGAACTCTTCATCCCAAGGGAACCCTTCATCCCAAGGAAATGCTTCATCCTAAGGGAACTCTTCTTCCCAAGGGAGCCCTTCATCCCATGGGAGTGCTCCATCTTAAGGGAACTCTTCATCCTATGGGAGCTCTTCATCCCAAGGAAATGCTCCATCCCATGGGAATGCTCCATCCCAGTGCCTGGTTCTGTCCCTGGGCAGCAGAATGTCTCAGCAGGCTGCAGGGGTTTCATGGAAGTGTTAATACATCCCCTGAGCTCACAGACTCACAGATTATCTACACAGGGAGCATTAAGTCCAGCTCCTGCACAGACAATCCCACCCAGTGCCTGAGAGCGTTGTCTGAAAGCTCCTTGATTTTTTAAAGTTTCACAGCTGAGGTGTGGATGTTTTCTGCATAGTAGGACACAAAAAGGAGCTGTTGGTGGTGGTGGACTGAGAGGTGGGTGAAGCATGGCCTCCTCTGACATTTGGACAAGTGAGGTGCAGCTTTTTTAAAACAGTTTGGTGCTCACAGGAATTCAGCAAGGCTGAGATGAAGTTCTGTCCCCTGGCTGCTGCATGATCCTGCTGGGTATTCCTCTAAAAACCTGGAATCTGCTGGGTATCCCTCTAAAAACCTGAAATCTTGGTGCTTCAGTAAAAACCTGGAGTCATGGTGCTTCAGTGTTGCTCATTCCCCCTTGCAGGGAGGATGGAATTTTAGCTGTGGCTGAGAGCAGGACTGTGGGCTGTGTGTGTGTGAGCAAATCTGGGCACCTCTGGGGCTGTAGCTGGGGCAGCTCCTGCCCTGGATGGGTGCAGGGGGCTGAGCAGCTGCCCTGCATGCACATCTACCCTACATGCACATCTGCCCTGCATGCACATCTGCCCTGATGCACAGCTGTTTCCCTCCCCACAGGAGATCAGTGGCTGGTATTATCTCCTCGGGGAGGACCTGGGCAGGACCAAGCACCTGAAGGTGGCCATGAGGAGGCTGAAGCAGAGCTCAGGTGTGTCCCAGCACGGGAATGTCCCAGGGGTGTTGGCAAGGCTGGCAGGAGGAGTCACTGCTGTGTCTGAGCCCGTGTGTGGAGCAGCCCCAGCCCCATTCACCCTGTGGGCACTGCTCGGCCCTGTGGTCTCTGGCATCCCAAAATCTTGTGGGGTGGGGATTTTGGCTGGTTCAGCAGTCCCTGTTCTCCCCTTCAGCCTCACTTCTGGAGCTCTTTGGGGACCCCAGCCCTGCAGCCATGTCCTTCTCTCTCTTGCTTGGCTTGTCCTCCTGCTGCCTCCTGCCTCTCAGACTTGGGGCTCATTGCTGTGGCCACTCTCTCTTTGTCCCTGGGGTCTGGGCTGGATGTTTGGGGGCTTTTTCCTCCTGTTTTGGTCTCACAGTGCTGCAGAGAGAGGAGGAGCAGGGGCTGGCAGAGGTCAGGGTGGGGCAGCAGTGCCTGTCCCAGGCGTGCCTGGGGGGATGTGCCCATGCCATGTAAAGGTCCATGTGCAGTGTGGGCTTGTCAGATGTGCTGTCACACTCATAGAGACTTTTCCTTTTTAAAAAATGTTTTAAAAATCATTTCAGAAGCCAAGCCAGGAAGTCAGGGTGCAGCCCAGGAGAGCCAGGACGCTGTGAGCCTGCAGCAGCTGAAGGTGAGTGTGACAGGGCTGTGACCCACAGCACGGGGAACATGTGGGGTCAGTGCCTGCCTGAGGGGTTTCCAGAGAGCCAAGGTGTGGTGGTGTGCACAGGGGTCTTAGGATGAGGGAAGAGATGAGAATGTTGACTCCATATTTCAGAAGGCTTGATTTATTATTTTATGATATATATTATATTAAAACTATACTAAAAGAATAGAAGAAAGGATTTCGTCAGAAGCCTAGGTAAGGATAGAAAAGAATGATAACAAAAGCTTGTGACTGACTGACACAGTCTGAGCCAGCTGACTGTGATTGGCCATTAATTAGCAACAACCACATGAGACCAATCACAGATGCACCTGTTGCATTCCACAGCAGCAGATAACCACTGTTTACATTTTGTTCCTGAGGCCTCACAGCTTCTCAGGAGAAAAAAATCCTAAGGAAAGGATTTTTCAGAAAACATCGTGGCTACACCAAGGGACAGTGTTTTAGTGGGGTGATGCTGGGGTGAGGGAGCTCTGTCACCTCCCTGTCACCCCATGGCTGTCACAAGCAGTTTGTTACCCCAGCCAGGCCCCAGCTGGTGATTTGGGTACTAACCCCCATTGCCCCAGGGATCTCCTGTTTTCCAGAGTGTTCCCACTCCAGCCAAAGCCCCAGCAGTGCCTGGGCTGGCAGGGCTGGGCTGGCAGGCTCCTGCCCCACCCCACGGGCCCTGCCCGGTTCTGTGGCTCCTTGGACACGTCTGCTCCTCTCCTCCTTCCAGGACCGTGTGCTCTGGGGAGGGAAAGGCCCACGGTGGAGCCTGGGTGATTTATAGGAGAGGCAAGGATGGGAAATGGGAACACAAACACATGGTTTGCATCGGAAATGGGGCTCGGGCGGCCCCGTGATTTATCTGTGCTGAATTCCGCCCTTCCCCGCGCTTCCCTCAGCTGCATTTGCAGTTATTTGTTTTACAGCACAGGGCTGAGCAAGACAAACAAAGCCAGCGCCCCTCTCCTCCCTTCCTCTCCGGCAGTCGCCACTGACTTGAGCAGAGCTGGCTGGGAAGGAAAGCTGCTTCTCCTCCTCCTCCTCCAGCCCCAGCCTGGCAGCGTGGCTGCCCTGACAATGCTCTGATGGCTCTGCCACCACAGCTCCCCTGGCAGTGCTGAGGCTCCTCAGCTCCCTGCCTGGCCCTGCCACCCTGGTTACTGTGCAGGAGAACCTGGATTTTGGGTTCCCTCCAGCCTTCCCTCCTTTATCATCCCCCTGTAGGAGTGTGGAAGGTGTTCTCTCCTGTTGGAGCCCCATCTCCCAACTCTGGCAGAGGGGCAGCTGAGCCCTGCTGCTGCCTGTGCTCAGAGCTCCTCTTGCCTTTAATTCCCAAATTCCACCATGGATGCAGCTCAGTTGACTTCAGTGCTTCCCCCTCGGTGACTTTATGAGCACAAAGCACAGGGACATGCACATCCTCTGGGTCTGTGCTTTCAAAAACAAACTTTTTCTTGTTTTTTTTTTTTTTTTCTTCTACAAACCCAAACCTCTGATTTTTTTACGAGCATGGAGTCATGTCCTTCATGGAGTGAGGCTCTCACAGCCAGTCCTGTGAAACGCCGCTCAAACATCCTCCAAGTGTTTGTGAGAACGTCGCAATAACAAAGCGCTCCGTGCGCCCCAAGAATGCCACGGGAACAAAAGCCACATCAACAGAGCTGGGACTGGGGAATACTAAAGAGTTGACAGGAATTTTAATATAAAACTCTCTCCCTTCCTCGTCAGTGAGGGCTTTCAGGAAGCCTCTGGCTTATCGTGGAGCGGCATACAGCGCTCGCAGGGGCCGGGGAGGTGAAAGGTGGCTTCCTGCCATTCTTCTCGGGAGCTGGGTTCCCATGGGCGGTCATGCCAGCGTGACTGGGGCTCCTTCCAGAGCCAGCAGTCCGGGAGAGCCACGGGAGCTGCGGGGTTTTCATGGGCTCGGGGGGCACAGCCATGAACCGCTTCCATGGGCTCTGCAAGGTGTGCTCGGAGCCGCGGTACCGGCAGGTCTGTATCCCTGCACCCACCCTGGAGCTGATCCCTGAGAGCCTGGGAGATCCCTGAGAGCCTGGGAGGTGCCTGAGAGCCTGGGAGATCCCTGAGAGCCTGACAGATCCCTGAGAGCCTGACAGGTCCCTGAGTGCATGGCAGATCCCTGAGAGCATGGCAGATCCCTGAGACCCTGGGAGATCCCTGAGTGCATGGCAGATCCCTGGGAGCCTGGCAGGTCCCTCAGAGCCTGGCAGGTCCCTGAGAGCCTGGCAGTTCTCTTGCCATGGCTGGATATGGGCAGTGGATTTGTAGGGCTGGATGTGGCGAATGAATTCATAGGGCTGCATGTGAGGAATGTATTTGTAGGGTTGGATGTGGGGAATGCATTTGTAGGGCTGGGTATAGGGAATGGATTTCTATGGCTGGATGTGAGGAATGGATTTATAGGGCTGGATATAGGGAATGGAATTGTAGGGCTGCATGTGGGGAATGGATTTGTAGGGCTGGATGTGAGGAATGGATTTGTAGGGCTGGATGTGGGGAATGGATTTGTAGGGCTGCATGTGGGGAATGCATTTGTAGGGCTGGATGTGAGGAATGGATTTGTAGGGCTGCATGTGGGGAGTGGATTTGTAGGGCTGCATGTGGGGAATGGATTTGTAGGGCTGGATGTGGGAAGTGGAGTTGTAGGGCTGGATATGGGGAATGGATTTGTAGAGGATTCTTAAAGCTTGACAGAAAGCTCACATAGTATATAAACTTTGAGATAAGAAATGCTGGTGTAAAACTGTCATGGAATAGGACAGACATTGTTGTGAGAGGAATGGAGCTAGAAACAAATTTCAAAGCATGGCCTTGTAAATAAGACTGGATACTTTGGAGAAATAGAACTATGAAAGATGCATTGTAGTGGGACCCATGAGGGGTAATTTTAGATAATTGGCTTTGAGGCATTTATAGCATAGTGTGGCAAAAAGTTGATAGGCCAAGAGACACTTATAATGTATTATAATTAGGAAATAATTAGCTTCTGATTTTGATGGTGTGCATTATAACATCTGTATTGTCTCACCCTTCACATGAGACTGAAAATGGAAGAAAAGTTTTTAAAATGCCTCTCAATTGCCCCATCTCTGGGTCAGAAAAGGGCATAACCCAACAAATGGACTCTGTGGGTGCTGCTTGTGAGGCATCACCTTGATATCGTTACAATTTGTAAATTACAGTGAGGGTAGAAGGAAAGCATCTTCACATGGGTGCCTGTGGCTCATCTCTGCTTGTTGCTGCAGTGGAGAAATGTGCAGGGAGTGGTGCTTTTTAAATATATATAAATTATTAAAATATAGAAATATATGCAAATATAAAAAGATATATTTACTGTACAACTTGCAGGTAGCATGCTGATGGTAACAGTGTTAAGCTGCAAGCTTAAACAGTGTTAAGCTGTCCTAATTTCCCCCTTATTAGAGAAGAAGCAGAAGCTCTTTTAAAATTATTTTAGTGGTTTTGGGAGCCACCAGCACTTGTTTCCTGTGAGTAGCTCACTGTGCTGGTTCCAGTTCTCCCAGTGCACAATGCCAGCTGCTGCTTTTCCATGTGCAGGTCCCAGTCTCCTGCATTTCAGAGAAATATTCTCTCTGTGGTCTGGACTGAGATTCCCAGCTCAGGGTCAGCTTCTCCCTGTGCTCCTGAGCTCATGGTTCAGGTTCTTCCAAAGCTGCTGTGGGGGACAGCAAACACTGGGAATTACAAAAGCTGCAGAATTCCAAACCCAACTGCCCCCTCCTTGCCAGGGCTGTGGTGACCACCTCGTGCAGGAAAGCTGCTCTGCCTTGGCTGGATAACAACTGACTCTGCCTTGTCTCTTAGAGCTCCTCAAGTCTTTATTTTGAAAATTTCCTTTGTGTTTTCTGGTAAAGTTTGGGTACATCAAGTCTCCCCACCCACCTCCCAGCTCATGGCAGATGCTCATAGTTCTTTAGCTGTGTGCATGGCACCAAAATGGGTAAAAAATGGGCAAAAAATGGGCAAAAAATGGGAAAAAATGGGCAATGACTGCCTGTGATAGCCCTGGTAGTGGGAGGTAAGGAGCATCAGCAGGGAGAAGTGGCACAGGGCAGGTGGGGGGCAAGGTCAGCCAGCTCAGGGAGAAGGTCTGGGAGATCTGACACAGGGAAACCTTGGGCTGGGAAATGCTGTGGAGTCTCTGTGGTGGGAGAGATGCTGGGCTGGCTCCTGAGGTGTTGGAGATGAAATTGTAGGATCTGGAATATGCTGAGCTGGAAGGGACTCACAGGGACCATGGAGTCCTGGTTTATTCAAAGTACAGAGCCACCTCTTTGAGGAACCAGCAAACTCCAGAGAGAAAAAGGTCAGCACAATGGGACTGGATCTGTGTTTGAGTCTGCCACGGCAAGCCAGTTTCTCTTTTGAAGCCTGATTTTGTGCTGAGCAATCACACAGGGACAAGGTGCAGGAAATGAAAGGAGTGAAGAACCATATCACCCCCTTGGCAACTTCTGCTGAATTCCTCAGCTTCCTTCTGCCTGTTTGTTCTCAAAATAATACAGGTCAGATGTAGGATTTGTAATTTGCTTTGCTCTGTCAGTAAAACAAGCATCTTGACTGATGTCTTGGGGGCTAATCAGGTATTTACAGGATCTGTCACACTGAGCTGCTGCTGGAAGCCAACATCAAAAAAATAAGGATAATTTTATTAATAAGCTCAATGCTCCTCGAATCAGGAGGAGAAATGAGCCTAAATCAGCCCAGCATCCATCCTCTCCAAACTCAGTGAGGGAAAACACTCTCAGCCCAGGGAAGGGGTGATGCACACAGATGTCTGGAGGACAGGAGCGTGCTGAGCTCCCTCCGGAGCAGGGGAGTGCTGCTATTTCTGTATTCTCCAACAGGAAATGAAATGTTTAAGTGATTTGCTTAGAGAAGTCAGTGTCAGGGCCAGACTGCCAGGTTTTCCTTTCCAGTGGCTTCTCAGACCTTTCCTTACACTTGGGAGGGCTGGGAGCAGAGTGTGTGCTAAACAAACACTCCTGTGGTGTTCCAGAGAGCCTTGGCTCCTTCTGGCACTGCCTTTAGCCCCCAATCCACCCTGGGGGTGTCAGGGACAGCCCTTCCCCATCTCCAATGCCATGTGCCAGCATTGCCAGGGCTGTGGGGCAGTGAGGGGGGGATGATCACACCCAGTGGCTGCTCTCCCACCTGACAGGTGTCTCCCTGCAGATCACCATCCCTCGGGGCACTGACGGCTTTGGCTTCACCATTTGCTGCGATGCCCCAGTCCGTGTGCAGGCTGTGGACTCTGGTAAGAGACTGGATCCTTTCCATCACTCTTGATTTGAATCAATTCTTGCTCTTTTGCTTCCCAGGCTGTGGACTCTGGTAAGAGACTGGATCTTTTCCATCCCTCTTGATTTGAATCAATTCTTGCTCCTTTTTTGCTTCCCAGAGCTGGTTGTGATTCTGGAGCTCCCATGCCTCGCAGGACTCTGGGTACCTCCAAGAAAGTTCATTAGATGAATTCTCTGTTGCCTCTAATGAGGTCAGAGGCCCCTGGGTTAGCAGTGTGTCACTATTTTGACAATGTTTTGCAGTAATTTGCAGAGATTTTGTTCCCTTCCCTCTCCAACCTGAGAACTGTCTGGGTGGGTGACCTTCAGAAATCATTTGGGGGGAAAACAGGTCAGAGGGGATCGGGACTGTGGAAATCCTCAGTTCCCTGAATAGAACCTCTTGCTGTGGACCTGTGGGATGGACTGGTGTCTCCAGTGTGCTCTGCTGCTCCCACTGCACCCCAGGAAACGTGGGGATTGCATGCAGCAGCTCTGAGGGAGCACTGCTGGCTCTGTCCTGGTGCTCTGTGTGTGTGGATGTGCTGCAAGGTGAAGCTCCAGGCTGGCTGACCCCATTTCATTTTTGAGTGTGGGTGTCAGATGGGGTTTGGAGGAGTGAGGAGCTCTCTGGGGGTCTCCAGGGCTTCTCCTTCCCCTCCCATCACCCTCCTGCCTGGCAGTGACTGGAATTTATCCCCCTCAGGTGGCCCAGCAGAGAAGGCAGGGCTGCAGCAGCTGGACACGGTGCTGCAGCTGAACGAGCAGCCTGTGGAGCACTGGAAATGTGTGGAGCTGGCCCACGAAATCCGGTGAGTGCTCCCAAAAACCCCAGGGCAGGGAGAGCACTGAGGGACTGAGGGAAGAGGAAAGATCTGAGGGATGCAGGGAAAGGATTCCCTGGAGGAGAAGGAAGAATACAGGAAAGGATTCATTGGAAAGGAAGGATGCAGTAAAGGATTCCCTGGAGAAGGGAGGATGCAGGAAAGGATTCCTTGGAGAAGGAAGGATGCAGGAAAGGATTCCCTGGAGGAGAAGGAAGGATACAGGAAAGGATTCATTGGAAAGGAAGGATGCAGTAAAGGATTCCCTGGAGAAGGAAGGATGCAGGAAAGGATTTCTTGGAGGGGAAGGAAGGATGCAGGACACTGGGAGAGGATTCCCTGGAGAAGGAAGGATGCAGGAAAGGATTCCCTGGAGGGGAAGGAAGGATGCAGGAAAAGATTCCCTGGAGAAGGAAGGATGCAGGAAAGGATTCATTGGAGAAGGAAGGATGCAGGAAAGGATTCCCTGGATGGGAAGGATGCAGTAAAGGATTCCTTGGAGAAGGGAGGATGCAGGAAAGGATTCCCTGGAAAGGAAGGAAGGATACAGGAAAGGATTCCCTGGAGGGGAAGGAAGGATGGAGGGGCGGGGGAGCACGGGAGAGCAGCAGAAGCTTTGGAGGGAGGAAGCTGCAGGGCTGGGTGCAGCACACGGTGCTCCAGCCCTGATTTCCCCACCCATGTGTGCCAGGAACTGTCCCTCGGAGATCATCCTGCTGGTGTGGAGGCTGGTGCCGCAGGTGAAGCCGGCCCACGAGGCCATGCCCCGCCGCTCCTCCTGCAAATCCGCCTACGACCTGCAGTCCCCGCCGCAGAAGCGGGAGAAGAGCGGCCCCGCGCAGGCCGAGCAGCGCCGCAGCTGCCACATCCTGTACGACGGCACCGAGGGGCTGGGGCTGCACTCCTGGGACAGGTACACGGAGCTGGGCAAGCGGGGCCCGAACACCCTGCCCGCCCTGTCCCGGGTGCCCTCGGCTGCCGACCAGAACTACATCATCCTGGCGCCGCTGAACCCCGGCAGCCAGGTACGGCTGGGGCTGTGCAAGGCCCGGGGTTGCAGCCTCTGCTGGGCCTGCTTCAGCCTTATCCAGCATCAGCTCTAAATACTTGCCCGTTTTACAAGCCACACCTCTGTCTCCTTTCACTGTTTTCCTAAAGCATTTCCCTGCTGCCTCCCCTCAGGGCTCACCCCGGGGTGTGGGGAGGATGTGGGGAGTGCTCAGAGAGCCTCGGCTCCATCTGGCACTGCCTTTAACACCCTTTCCACCCATTACCCGTGGGGCTCACAGTCACAGCCTTGTTCCCACTTCACAAACCACACTGTCGGTCACTGCTCTCATTTTCTGCTGCAAAAATGATTTTCCCCCCTCTCTGAAGTGCTTTGGCTTGGCTAGGTTTGGCATGTTGCCTTCTGTAGCTGGGTCACTGTCCCTGGGGCCTGCTGCAGGTGACCATGTCCCCACTGCACAAAACCACACTGTCGGTCACTGCTCTCATTTTCTGCTGCAAAAATGTTTTTTCCCCCTCTCTCAATTGCTTTGGCTTGGCTAGGTTCGGCATTTACCTTCCGTAGCTGTGTCACTGTCCCTGGGGCCTGCTGCAGGTGACTGTGTCCCCACTGCACAAGACCACACTGTTGGTCATTGCTCTCCTTTTCTGCTGCAAAAATGTCTTTTTCCCCTCTTTGAAGTGCTTTGGCTGGCTGGGTTTGGCATGTTACCCTCTGTAGCTGTTGTGTCACTGTCCCTGGGGCCTGACCGTGTCCCTGTCTCTGTCCCCACAGCTGCTGAGGCCCGTGTACCAGGAGGACAGCACCGCTGTGGGTGAGTGTGCCTGGGCTGGGGCGGTTGCTCACGGCCCCCAGCTCCAGCCTGGGCCTCCTGGCACCACCAGCTCCCTGTGCCAGCCCTGCACAGCTGGGGTTGAGGGCAGGAGCAGCCCAGGGGCTTTGGGATCATTGAACCCAAAGGCATAGGGGAGCTGGGCACGGGGCGAGCCTCACATGAGGGGTCTGGTGGGCTCTCAGAGGGCTCTGATGGTGGGGACCTCCAAGGCAGAGTGAGACCTCTGAGCATCCTGCTTCCCACTGTCTCTGGGCCCATCCATTTTCTCAGAGGAGAACTCTCTGTTCTCCTCACCCACGAGGCCTTGCTGGGGAGCTGCTCCCTGCTCTGAGACTCCTGCAGTGCCCCAGGAGTGAGGGTGGCTGTGCCTCACATCAGTGCCACCAGCTGTGCCACATTTGGGGAATATTCAAGCCCTGGGCTGCTGCAAAGTCTCTGGGCCAGTTCTCCTCAAAAATCCTTTGAAACATTAGCTCATAACACAAACCACAGCTGTGAGAGGTGTGTGTGGGAGCTCCCTGGGGATGGGTGGACTGTGGGAAGAGTGGGCTGAGGTGGTGGCAGGGCTGGGCACTGCAGGAATCCAGGTCCATGTGGAAATCCCCCTGTCTGCTGATGGATTTGGGAGCTTTGGGAGGCTGTGCTTGCCCGGGCCTGGCTGGGTGCCCTGAGGATGAGCTGAGCTCCCAGAGGATGTGAACCCCTCAGCATTCCCTGTTTGGGGAGGGCACAGCTGGCAAGCTTGGTGCTGTCTCTGAGGTGGGGCTGTGTCCAGAGACAGCCAAGAGTGGGGCTGGCAGAGCCATGGGGCAGTGCTGGGGAGCAGGAGGGAGCACTGAGAGCCAGACCCCCCTGCCTTGGGAGCTCCCAGCCCTGGAGCTCTGCACCAGGAGAATTTTCCACTCTCAGCTGCAGGGGATGTTTTGTTCTCTGGATAATTGCTGCTCTTTCCTGCTGTTTGTGGGTCCTATGAAAAGATGAGCTGGACCACAGGGACTTGTTCTTACAGTAGGGCGGGATTTGAAAGGCTTGGGCTTCTTCCTGTAGCAAATTTTGGATTTTTATGGGTTTGTTTTTAATTATTTAATGTTAAGTTCAGAGGGAGGGAGGTATCAGTTAGCCTGAGCAGGGATGAAGTGTGGCAGCACAGAGCTGACATTTGGGTGTGTTTTTGTGCCAGGACCTGTGCAGGTGATTATTTCCTCTGATAGAACGAGGTGATTTAGGGATAAGAGCAAAAGCAAATCCTGAACAGCCCAGACAGATCTTATCTGGCCTGTGCTGAGCTGTCTCTTGAGCTTTGATGTTATCTGCCAGTGCAACCAGGAAAAAGGGAAAAGGGAAAATGTCAGGGTTAATGCACTTAGAGGTAGAAACAAGCTCTTAGGTCATGAGGGTGCCCCCAGCAGAGGCGGCTGCTCCAGCCAGCAGTAAACAGCCAAGCTGGCTTCCCAGCCCAGGCTGGCTGCTCTGCTGCCTTTATCTGGGAGTAAATGTGCTATTTCCTAATGCTTAATGGAATATGTAATGCTGGGCAGCTTTGTGTGTTTGCTTTGGACCAGACCTTATCTGCCCTGGCCATGGTCAGGAGTGTTTTGGCTCATTTCTGCCTGGGAAGGTGCTGGGCATCCCTCACAGTGCCAGGGTAAAGGCTCTGGGTGGGAGCAGGAGCTCCAGAAGCTCTGTGGTGGGAGCAGGAGATCCTAAAGCTCTTTGCTGGGAGCAGGAGCTCCAAAAAGCTCTGGGTGGGAGCAGGAGCTCCAAAATCTCTGTGGTGGGAGCAGGAGCTCCAAAGGCTCTGTGGTGGTAAAAGGAGCTCCAAAGGCTCCGTGGTGGGAGCAGGAGCTCTAAAAGGCTCTGTGGTGGTAAAAGGAGCTCCAAAGGCTCCGTGGTGGGAGCAGGAGCTCTAAAAGGCTCTGTGGTGGTAAAAGGAGCTCCAAAGGCTCTGTGGTGGGAGCAGGAGCTCTGTGGTGGGAGCAGGAGCTCTGGGGTGGCTGCAGGGAGGAAGGGGAGATGCTGGGGTCCCCAGGGAGCTGCAGGAGAGATGCTCATTCCTGTTCCTGGGACATTCCTGTGGGGGAGAAGGAGAATGCTCCAGCTCCTCACCTGGATGTGTTCAATCCCAGGGGAGAGCTCTGCCTGCAGCCCCAGGCTGGCTCAGTTCACCAGCTACAGGAGGAGGGAGGAAGGAAATATTGGTTGATTTTTCAGTGGGGCTTCTCCTGAAGATGTGAATTTGGTTAGAGAGCCATGCAGCTCCTGTTGGATCTGTTGCCTGTGAGTTTTAGGGCAGTTTTAGGTTGCTGGGGTCCAGCAGGACATGGTCTGGGGTGGGAGGGTGCAGGAGGAAGGCTCCTGTAATCCTCCTTTGGGTGAGGATAACTCTCCTCAGGGAAGAGGGACAGACTGAAAGCCAGTCAGGCTGCTTGGGCCTTTTCCAGCCCAGAATGTAATGCTGACAAACAGAGGATGATGTGATGCCAGCCTCATGAACAGTGAGCTCATCCTTTATAAATACACCCAATGTCTGAGGAGCCACTGCTGGCAGCAGCAGGGATTGATCCAGCCATGAGTGTTTGTGACTCCTGCCTGCTTCTCTGACTCCTCCAATCCCAGCATCTCCTGAGAGCTGTCATTAACCCACTGCCCCATGGCATGGCATTCCTGCACTTTGCTAATTCCATGCCCACAATGCAGAGCAGGCAGGGCTTGTGTGGATAAAAATGTTGAAGTTCCTCTCCTGGGGCCCCTTCAGGCCCTGGCAGGGGCTCTGAGCTCTCCCTGGAGCTTCTCCTCTCCAGGTGAGCACCCCCAGCTCTGCCAGCCTGGCTCCAGAGCAGAGGCTCCAGCCCTGGAGCAGCTCTGGTGTCTCTGGACTCATCCAGCAGCTCCAGGTCCTTGCTGGGCTGGGACCCCAGGGTGGGACAGAGCCCTGCAGGGGCAGACTCAGAGGGCAGAGCCCTGGTGGGATGTGCTGGCCTGAAGCAGAGCTTGCTGTGCCCTCCCTGGGGTCTGTTTGTACCTTCCCAGCTGTGTCTGTGCTGCTGGTGGCACCCACTGGAGTCCTCAAGCCACCAAGCAACAGCCCTGGAGCAAACCCACCCAGGGGCCTCTTGTTTGCTGTGACAGTGTTCACAGGGGTCTCAGGATGAGGAAGAGATGAGGATCTGACTCCATGTTTCAGAAGGCTGATTTATTATTTTATTATATACATTACATTGAAACTATACTAAAAGAATAGAAGAAAGGATTGCATCAGAAGGCTGGCCAGGAATAGAACAGGAAAGAATGAAAACAAACGTTTGTGGCTCAGGGCTCTGTGTCCAAGCCAGCTGGGCTGTGATTGGCCATTAATTACGAACAACCACATAAGACTACAGATATACCTGTTGCATTCCACAGCAGCAGATAGTCAATGTTCACATTTTGTTCCTGAGGCCTCGCAGCTTCTCAGGAGGAAAAATCTTAAGGAAAGGATTTTTTATAAAAGTTGTCTGCGACAGTTTGCCATTAGAAACAATGGAATCAGTGTTGTTATTCCTTGAATCCCTGGGACTCCTGGGTAGCTGAGTGCTGCGTGTCCCTGCAGCTCCTGGGCCCAGCAGCTCCCCAGGGTTCCCAAGCCCTGCTCCAGCCTGGGAGAGCAGGACTGAGCGGGAGTGACAGAGCTGGAGCTCCCTCCTCATCCTGTGTTTCCTTCTGCCTCCTGTGTCCATCCAGGAAATGGCTCCAAAGGGAAATCCCACACGGGCTCTGGGAGGAAATCCAGGCTGATGAAGACTGTGCAGAGCATGAAGAGCTATGGGAACTACCAGAACTGCACCATCGTGAGGCCGCACATCCCCCATTCCTACGGCACCTACGTGACCCTGGCCCCCAAAGTGCTGGTGTTCCCCATCTTTGTGCAGGTCAGTGGATGTGCTCAGTGCCCAATCTCACCCCAAAGTGCTGGTGTATGCCCTATCTTTGTGCAGGTCAGTGCAGCCTCAGGGCTGGATGTGCTCAGTGCCCAGTCCCAGCTCCAGGGAGTGCCCATCCATGCCAGGATCTCCCTCCCAGCAGGATCCCTGCCATGCTCAGCTCTCCTCTGGAGCTGGCTGCACTTGGCACAGTGCTGGGGCTGTCTCAAAGGGAATTGTGCCCTGCCCAAGCAATTCTCTGTTGGATTTTTTATTCTCCTTTTCAGCTTTCAAATGTGGCCCTTGGTAATTGTTTGGGTGAAGAGGAGGTGTCCCAGCTTTTGGGTTTCAGAGCTGACTTTGGAATTGCAGATCAGTGTGGTTCTTCTTGATGGTTCTTGTGCTGTCAGTGTGTGCAAAGGGTTTTTAGTTTAGCTGGTGGTTACACTAAAATTTGGGCAGCCAGGGCCTCACCATCCTCACAGGGAAGGGTTTCTCCCCAGTATCCCATCCAGCCCTGCCCTCTGGCACTGGGAGCCATTCCCTGTGTCCTGTCCCTCCATCCCTTGTCCCCAGTCCCTCCCCAGCTCTCCTGGAGCCCCTTCAGGCCCTGGCAGGGGCTCTGAGCTCTCCCTGGAGCTTCTCCTCTCCAGGTGAGCACCCCCAGCTCTCCCAGCCTGGCTCAGAGCAGAGGACAAGGGTTCACAGCAGTAATGGCTCCACAGGGGATGTTCTGCCTCTGCAGGTGCATGAGCTGTTTTAAGAGAACAACCCTGAATTTGGTGGTGGTAGCTCTAACTCCCTCCGTGTCCTTCATGTGGCCAGAACCCCAAAAATCTCATCTGCTCCATGTATTTTAGCACATTGCTGATGAATCCCTTCCTTCCTGAGCCTGTGGGGAGCCCTTTGTCCTCCTGAGCCAGTGGCAGTGGCACTGTCACCTCAGCCCAGCCTGAAGCCATGGTCCCCATTCCCTGTCCCTCCTGCCTGAGGGCAGTGTGGGCTGGGCTGGAGCTGGGGCTGGTGTCTGATCACCCCCTCCTCCCTATGGCCCCTGGCTGAGCCCTCGGCTTGTGTTGGCAGGAACACAACTGGAACTTCTGCCTCCTTAGTCCCAAAGCTCATTCTGGGTTGTGCCTGGGAATCTGCCCCTTCAGGAGCTGCTTTTCCCTCTGCGGTGTCACCCTGCAGGGCTTTGTGCAGATCCCTCCTGCTCCCACTGTGCTGCCCCTTCAGGAGCTGCTTTTTCCCTCTTCAGAGTGTACAGATCCCTCCTGTTCCCACTGTGCTGCTGCTGCAGGAGCTGATTTTCCCCCTGGTACTGTCACCCTGCAGGGCCCTGTGCAGATCCCTCCTGTTCCCACTCTGCTGCTCCCCAGGCTGCTGCTGCAGAGTTTGTTGTGCACTCAGGACACGTGGACCTGTCCCATTCTCCAGCACTGAGCTGGGTGTGGCACAGAAAGGGACAGGAATTCCTAAAAGTTACTTTAGGAGTGATGCACACCATCAGGTACAGCGCTGGTGCCTGAGGGACGTGGGAGCCTGCCTGCCAGCCCTGTGGTTGTGCTTCCTGCTGACAAACACCCATCACCCCCTGAGAGCAGCCCCTGTCAACTGCTGCTCTTTCACAGCTGGGCTGCTGGAGGTGTGAGTGCAAGGCTCTGTTTTCTCCCCTCACTGGATTGCAGACTCTGTGTCCCTCTGAGCGCAGTGCGGGGTGGCGTCTCCCCGTGTGAGTTACAGCTCAAAGTGAGACAAAGAGGGTTTGGTGGGTGGAAAGTGTATCTCACTAACCACACTGCCACTGGAAGGTGTGACTGTTTCTTTTGTTTCCTTTTTTTTAATTTTTATTTTCCCATCCAAATGTAGCCCCTGGATCTTTGCAACCCAGCCCGGACTCTGCTGCTGTCGGAGGAGCTGCTCCTTCTCGAGAGCAGGAACAGAACCACACAGGTAAAACTCTTCCCCTTTGTCTGGGCTCTCCAAACCTGCTCTTCTGCTGTCTTAGATAGAGGACTGAATTGTAGAATCACCTGCTTTGAGTTGGAAGGGACCTTAATGCTCATCCTGTCCCATTCCATGGGCAGGGACACCTCCCACTGTCCCAGGCTGCTCCCAGCCCTGCCCAGCCTGGCCTGGGGCACTGCCAGGGATGCAGGGGCAGCCACAGCTGCTCTGGGCAGCCACCCTGCCAGGGAACAATTCCCAATTCCCAATATCCCATCCATCCCTGCCCTCTGGCAGTGGGAGCCATTCCCTGTGTCCTGGCATTCCACAGCCTTGTCCTTGCCTCCAGCTCTCCTGGAGCCCCTTTAGGCACTGGAGGGACTGGAAGGGATTCCTCATTACACTGAGAAGGAAAATGTTTCATTGTGCAGTGATTGTATTGATATGATATTTGGAAAGAGTTCTGGACAGTTTATTGTGGGAAAAACTAAATATCAAAACTCTTTTGTGCTAGAAATCAACTGTTGTTCCTGTTGCCTTTGGGCTCAGAGAGGAAACTGTGGGTGGCAAATGCACATCAGTGACAGCCCTGAGGCTCAGGACGAGGGGGTTTGAGATGTTTTGTGCCAGGTTAGAGAAGCACAGAGTGGTTCAGGCTGAAAGGCACCAGGGGAGGTCATCCAGCCTCATCCCCTTGGTCAGGGATCCCCTGAAGTCACTCAGGGTTGTGTCCACATGGCTTTGATGGCTTTGCAGCATCTCTAGGGAAGGAGAATCCACTAGAACTAGAACTAGAAACAGACAGAGAACTTGCTGCAGATGTTCTCAGAATTTCAGTTCCTGAAACAGCTCATGTGTCCTGCCCAAATTCCTCTCGTTCTTCTTACTTCAACTTTCCTGCCATGTTGTTGGGGAGCTCTTGGACTCCGGGGGCACTACAGGACTTTGGCACCCTGGGGATGAGACAGCTCTTACCAAACTGGCAGGGTTTGGATGTGTTGATCACATTTGCTGCTGGCTTCACTTGCATCCAACTGCAAAGTCTGCAAAGCCTTGGAATGTGGGAGGGAGGCAGAGCCCACTTGTGCACTGCTAACCAGAAACATTTATTCTGGGGTAATTTCACAGGCTCTCACAGGGTAATTTGGGGTTGAATTCAGTAGGAGTGAACAATGTGTCATCTCCACTTTCTCTACAGAAAGTTCTGCTTCACTGGTTTGAGTTTCTGGGTGGCCAACAGCAGAAGGCCAGAGCCACTTCCCACCACTGGCCAGTACAAACCAGCAGAGGGTTGTGCTAAGTGACTCCTCTCTCTGGTTTTCATTGTGTAATTCATCCCTTGCTTTGACTTGAATCACTTTTCCTTTTTTTTTTCTGCCAAAAAGTACATGAAAATACATCAAAGTACGTCAAAATTTCCATGATTGATCAGAAAACTTGGCACTAACTTTTAACTAAACCCCTTTCCCTGTCTGCCCTGCTGTCCTGTGCTGCTCAGGCTCTTCTGGGCACCTGCAGAACTGAAACCCAGGTAAACTGCTGGTTGTGTGGCACAGCTGTGCTGGGTGGCTTGGGGGTGCAGAGAGCTCCTCCTGGCTGGGTTGGAGGTACCTGCCTTCAGGCCAGACTCAGATATTTGGAGCAGCAGCCACATCTGGAATATTTATGGATAATTAATGCTGTTTGCAGCCTGGGTGGGGTATTTGTGCATGCGGGGGGGATGAAGAACCCCAGGGCAGGTGTGTTTGGAGGAGCAGAGACCTCACTGTGGGCAGGGTGAGGAGGAAAATGTCTCAGGGAAAGGACTCTGCTTATGATGCTCTTGGGATGAGCTGGAGCTGGGAGAGTCTCAGGTAGCTGATTGATAATTGCTGCCCCAGATGTGCAGGGTGTCTCTGCTTCAGCCCATGCAGCTGAAGAACGAGTCTGGACTCTTCACTTTTCGGTCTTTAAGTTGTTTATTAATTCTTATCTATAAAATTTTCTTTCTGCCCAGCCGAGATCTGCTCAGCAGGGCAGCCACAGGCACTCTGTGTTGTCCTTTTATACTACAAACTACCTATAACATATTTACACTTAATTCCCAATACCTATCACCTGTGTTAGACAGTGCACTTCTACTCTGAACCAATCCCAAAGTGCCAACATCACTGCAGAAAATGGAGAACAAGAAGAAGAAGAAGAAAGGTTGGACACGCCCAGATTCCTCCATCTTGTCCCCATAACCCCCATACCAAAAATCCTAAAATCTACATTTCCGCCCTGTGATAATTTTATTATTACACCATTCAAACTTGTGTGACTTTCATGTCCTCATACAAAGCTGGTAACTTGCTCCAAGGGTCAAAATCAAATCCCCAGGTGCTCTGGGCAGCGTGCCAGGGTCTCTGAGCCCCCTGGCAGGGTCCTCAGCAGCTCTGGACACCCGGAGGGATGCACTGAGCTCTGACAGGAGAGGATTTCCCAGCTGGAGCTGGCGCCAGGCAAGGGCAGGGTGCAGGCCAGGGGTGTGAGGCAGTGTTTGGGAATGCTGCTGCCCTGGGGCTGTGCTGTCTGGGTGAGCCGGCACAGGGGCAGGGGCAGGGCAGCAGGGCTGAGTCAGTGGGGTGAGGAATGAGCAGTGCTGAAGGGAACAGCCCGTGGTGCTGAGCCCCTGCTGGCAGGGACAGTGGAGAGAGCAAGGCTGGGATGTCACCTGTGGCCCTTGGGAAGGGCTCTGTCCTGCCTGAGTGTGTGGCACGGCCATGGAAGGCTTTGTGGAGCTTGTGCAGGTCTCTCTGGAGTGCCAGGCTCTGCTTTGGTCCTGCTGGGCTGTGAGGGGAGAGAACCTGAACCTCTGCAGCCAGCAAGGCCTAAAACAGCCTGGACGCCACAGGTGCAGGAGGGCTCTGACTCCTCTCTTTGCTGGCCTTGAATTCTCTCCCTCTCTGCCTCCTCTGATGCCTGGGCAGAGGCTGTCTTGTGTCCAACCAGTCCTTCCTTCCTTGCTCCATGAGGTTTTCTGTTTTCCCACTGCTCTTCCCACACAGCTGGACTCTTGTGGTTTGCAGGACTGTTCTCTGTGTGTTGTTAATCTGCTTTGCCTGAGAGGCTCAAGACAGGAGGGCCTGGGTGCAGGGGCTGGAGCTGCTCCTTTCTTTCTTTCCCAAACCCCAGAATCTTTTCCCTGTGGCAGTTTCCACCTCAGGCACTGCATCCTTGTCCCTGAGCAAACTCTCTCCCATCTCCTGAAGGAGCCAACCTATCTCTCTGGAGGCTTGCCAGGGTCTGTCCTTTCCCTGACCTTACCTCTGGGGCAATCCTTATTCAGGCCTTAATCACATCCTGTCTAGACTTTGCTGCAATTCCCATTTTCTGGCCTCCTGAAATCCCTCCAGCCCTGGAGTGCCAGAGGAGCCAGCGGGCGATGGCCCACGGGGTGTCCAAGGTGGCCTCTGGCCCTGTCCATCCATCTCCAATGGACCTGGAGTTCTCCCAAAGCCCTGAGGTGTCTGCTCAGTGTGGGCCACACTCCTGCCCTCCTCATCCCTCCTTTCTGCCTCTCTGGTAGGGTCTGCAGGTCAGGATGGATGGATAAACTGTCTAGAAGCCTTTTCTTCTGAGTCCCGCAGCCTCGTGGATGGGCTTGGCTGGGTTAATTCTCCTCTCTAGAGCAGGAGGCTTTCTCCTCTTTCTCCTCTTTCTCCTTTTTCTGCTCTTTCTCCTCTTTCTCTCTTTAAGGCTGCATTTCTGGGCACCTCTTCACAGTGATTTTGTTGCCACCTTTTTCTTCCCAAGGTGTGACATTGGCTCCCTCCTGCCCAGGGCAGGGCTCAGTGGCAGTCCCAGGGTTATCCCCCTTGGCAACACACAGGCCCATTGCTCCTGCCTTCCCTCTTGGCTTTCAGTTTCTCCTGGTTTCCCTCTTTAAATGTGTCCCTGTCTCCTGTGCCAGTGCTTTGCCAATCATGTCCTGTAGCTGCTCAGGTCCCTCAGCAGGAGAGCTTTGCTGTTTGTGGTGCAGAGCACACCCAGATGAGCAGTGTGGGGACATCAGGGTCAGCTCTATGAACAACCTTTCCCCCCTGTAAAATCTGTTCAGACCCCTAAAAGGCCCATGTGACAATGGCCATTGGCCTCAGTCACTGCAGCAATGACCCAGGGTGCCCATCCCTGTGTTCAGAGAGTCCTTCTGTCCTGGCAGCTCCTGGATTTCTGACTCTGGGCTAGGAAATTCTGCTAAATACCCAAAGCTACTTTCACCCTCCAGGGATCAACTCTGGTGAATTCTGTGACTTGCCTGGGTGAGCTCAGACGTTGTGTTTGTTGTTTGTTTGCTCTTGGCTTTTAGGAGCCCTGTGGTTTCTCAGGGTAGATCTGTTTGCCAAGGGCTGTTACAGACAGGTCACAGCCTGTGGGTGTGGGATGGCAGCCCAGGGCAGAGCTCCACGTTACTCCTCCAGTCTCCTGCTGCCCTGGGCTCATCCCTGAGTGCCCTCCTCAGCTCTCAGGTGTCCAGGTCTAATCTCTGGGTCTGCCAGAGCCCCAGGCCCACAGTGCTGGGCTGTCCCTGCCTCTGTCCCTGTCCCTGCCTCTGTCTCTGTCCCTGTTCCTGCCTCTGCCCCGTCCCTGTCTCTGTCTCTGCAGATGGAAGGGGAACTTTTATTTTTCCTTCCAACAGCCTGGAGGAGCAGAGGCACCACTATCAACTGCTCTCAGATCAATTGTCTTCCTGGAAGCAGCATCTGACAGAGATGCTCCTACAGAACCTGCACTTTTGTGCTTTTACCTTCAACATCCTGAATACAATCCGTCCCGTTTTCCTGTAAAAGCTCAATGCTACCTGTAAATTCTTAACCATGTAATTCCATTTCCAAGATTCCCTATTGAAACTTGCTTGGCTTTGAAGTGATTTTCTTGCTGCTCCTACTCTTTTTTCTACCCTTTAAACTTCCACAGGCAGTAGGTTTTCAGTTTCTTTCCTCCATTTCTGTGTGACTGTTAGCTGATCATGCTTTTATCTCCTCCACTTTGGGTTGCTGTTCCCAAAATCCCTTCAGCATCTGTTCTTTGGGGTTGAGGGGCCTGAGATGGCACCAGACATGTCCCAGAGCATGGCACAGCTTTGGCACAAGGTGGGCATGGGCTGAGGGTTGTAGTGCAGTTTCTGCCTGGTTATTCCTTGTGTTACCAACAAGATCAGAAGGAATGAAGAGGGTGGATGTGGGCACAAGGCCAGCAGAGTGTTGAGAGCAGAGGAAGGGATTTTCCAAATAACACAGACAAGAACATCCCCTCCCTGGTTTCACTGTCAATTAAAGCTCCACCAGCAGCTTTGTACTTACTGAGAATGCCACAAAAATGAACTTGCACTGCAAGGAGAAATCTTGTGGCAAGGGCTTGGTTTTGGATTTGGAGCCAGATGCTCTTCCAGCATGTGACAACTGTTACCCAGCTTGTCCTCCTCAGGATGTGTCCATCAGCCACAGACACAAACTGTGCTGTCAGCTGGGACTTGGTCCCTGTGGGAGCAGAGTCACCTCTCTGTGCCCCCTCACACCCCTCTGCGACTCTGGGTGTTGTCTCCTTTTGCTAAAAGACCACAAACCCTTCCTTGCTGTGGCTCAGTGTTGCAAAACTTTCCCTTTGTTGTGGGAGGTTTTGGGGGGCACTGCAAGTGCCTCACCCTGAGCAGGTCTGGCACCCACTATGCCAGTGCCACCTTGCAGCTGCTTACTGGCATCTCTGGTGACCAGGGCACAGCTGGGGCTGGGCCAGGGCAGCTCAGGCTGGAGCTCAGGGCAAGGCTCTGCCCCCAGAGGGTGCTGGCACTGCCCAGGCTGCCCAGGGAATGGGCACGGCCCCGAGGCTGCCAGAGCTCCAGGAGCCTTTGGGCAGCGCTGCCAGGGGTGCCCAGGGTGGGGCTGCTGGGGGGGCTGGGCAGGGACAGGGGCTGGGCTGGGGGATCCTGGTGGGTCCCTCCAGCTCAGGACATTCTGTGATTCCATGGTTCTGTGATCTTTGAGACTCTCTGTGTGCCCCAGCTCCTGGAGGCCAGGACAGGCTCACACCAAGCCTCTCATCCCTGGGGGTCTTCTGGGTCCAGGATCTCCAGGGCAGTGGAGAAACCCATTCTTATACTCAAGGTTCCATTAATCTGAACTGATTGGACTGAGGACCTCAGGCAAGTAAATGCAGGGACAGCATTTACTGTCCCTGGCCTGGAGGAGCCCCCAGACCCTGGGACACCCAAGGCTCTGCTGGAGCACAGCTCTGGGAGACTCTCGGGTGATGTTTCCTGTCCACCCCCACAGTGGTTTGAGGTGTCAGGTTTGTCCCCTGCAGCTGCTCTCTGTGGTCCTGCTCTTGTAAAAACCAAACTTTACTTTCTCACTGAGAGCAGCGAGGGTGATCAGAGGGATCAGATTTGCTTTCAGGCTGCAACTTCTGCACAGTGCTGGGATTAGTCGGCAACTTCTTCCCTCCTCCTGCTGTGATTTGTGACTGGTGTAAGTGGGAAGTGACCGGAGGGAGCAGAGGGTGTGTTTGTGTGGTGTGGAACTGCCAGGCAGGTTTATCCCTCCTGTCACAGGACTCACCAGCCTCAGGAAGCGGCTGCCAAGTGAGGGGAGCCTCATCCAAAGCTCGCTGGGTGCAGCAGCCCCTTGCGGAGGGCTCTCTGGGCTCCCTGGTGCCTCTCCCCAGGGCAGGGGACATTTCCAGGACATTCAGTGCCAAGAGATGAGCTCCCTATAGCTCCTCCTGTGCTTCCAGGTGACTCTCTTTGTCTACTCCGACCTGCTGCTCTTCACCAAGGAGGACGAGCCCGGGCGCTGCAACGTGCTGAGGAACCCTCTGTACCTGCACAGTGTCAAGCTCCAGGAGGGTGAGTGTTTGCAGCAGCAGCTGGAGGCATTTTGGGGGTTTTCTGGCTGCTGGCTGCAGAGGTTTCTGGCCAGAAGCACCCTGCTGTCCTGATGCTTCCAGGTCATCCTTGCTGGGGTGCCAGCAGCACCCCTGCTGTCCCTGCATTTGCCTGGGACCTCCATTTCCTGGCACACCTCAGGAGCACCCAGGCCCTTTCCAGCCTTTCTGGGTGCGTGGCTCAGGATGTGGGCTGGCATTGCCCAAGTGGTGTCGCACTGTGACAGCAGGCACTGGCCAAGGCTGGGAAAGGGAACTGAAGCCTTGAGGTTTCCCCCATGGTGCCTCGAGGGAGTTCAGAGATTGGCTCCAAGTGTGGCTGGCCAAGCTCTGATGACCTTGACTTTGCTACTTCTCTCTTGAGCTGCCCACGGTTTCCCTGTTGCTCACATCCATCCCCCTGCTCACCCCTCTGGGGAGGAAAGAGCAAACCCTCAGAGCAGGGCTGGGGACCTTGCCCTCACCCTGCACCTTGGCTGACACCTTTTGTGTCCAGCTGAGGGCTCAGAGAGGGCTGGGATGACTGGAAATGGGTTAATTCAGGCTGTACAAAAGACTGCCTTTAGCTCCACGTGGTCTAAAGAGGAATAAGGGAATTGCTCTACCACATCCTATTTGCTATGGTGGAGCCACTTGTTGGCCCTGGGCCCAGTTTCACCTTGTTCCTTGTGTTGCTTTTGGGTATGGGCTTGTCTTATGTACAGTTACCTGAGTGTGCCACAGCTCCTCCTGCAGCCCAGGCAGCTGCCCTGGGACCCCACAGGGGAAATCAGGATGAGATTGAAGGAGAAACTTTCCTGTCATGAGGTTGGCCAGATATTGAGTAGCCCAGAGAGGCTGTGGGATCTCCAGTCCTGGAAGCATTCAGGACTCCTGAGTGCCCTGCTCTGGGTGCTTGGTCAGGGATTGGACTCCAGAGCCCACCAGAGAGGCCCCTTCCAACCCAAATTACTCTGGAAATCATGAGCCAATGTCTTTGTGCAGTCCTGTGGCCCTGACCAAAAGGAATGAATCCAGATCTGGGCTGCTTCTCCAAAGGGATCCTTTTCTGGGTGAATTTTGCTGCTTGCCATGACTTTCCCCAGCTGAGCCACGAGCCCTGTGGATGGGCTGTGTCTCTCCACATGCATCACGTTGTTCTGAGCTCAGTGCTGGACACCACAGGCTGCCTGTCACTTGTTATTTCCCATTTCCAGCAACGTTTCTGTTTCCAGATGAATTCCCTGACCTATTTGGTGGGAGCAGAAGCACGGGGGAGGGAGATGGGGCACCACAGCCATGAGCCACTGAGAAAAGCCATTGAAGCCTCCCTGGGCTTTGTTGAGTGTGTTCTCAGCACTGCTTATTTCTAAGAAAGGGACAAAAGACATTGTTCCTTGTTAAAGTGCTTTTGGTCAGCTCCTGGGCTGTGTGTGTGTGTGCTGCCTCTGGCTGACCCCAAAGGCTGGGGAATAGCTCTGCTATCAGCATCCCTGCTGCTGCTCCTGGCTCTGCACTGTATTGTGCCTCCTCACCTTGGGCATGGGGGATTTATGGGCAGTTTTCTGCCACTTATTTCCTTCTTGCCATAATGACTGGATCCTGTCTGGAACAGCTTCCCAAGGCTCTCCAAGGGAGATGGGGTCCCTGCAGCCCTGAGCCACTCCCCCCGCCCCGTGCTCTGGGAATCCAGCCCAGCTGCTGTTCAGGCAGCTCAGACCCTCCTGCTTGGGGCAGGGCTGCTTCAAAGGCGGCTGGAGGGAACTCAGAACTGTCTGTCCCTCTTGGCAGGGGTTTGCTGCTGCTCTTCTGAATGACTGAGAGGCCCATGAATAGGAACAGGCGTGTGGCTGCCTCCAACAATTGAGACATCTCCGGTGCGCTCAGGGCCATTGTGCTGTTTCCTGTTCCTGCTCTGTGCGAAAGCAAATCAGTCTGATCTGCCTCACAATGCTGCCTCTTCCTGTTTTACAGCCCAGCACGGGCTGATGAGCTGGCTGCAGTGACACAGGGCTGGCTTCCTCAGCAGCCACTGTGGGAATTTCCACACACGGGATCCTGGTTCCCCCCCGTGGGTGTGCTCAGCTTTGGGACAGTGAGTTTTCCTTTATCCCCACTCTGGGACCCCATCCTCAGCTGGGATCCTGCAAACAAGGGCTTCTTGACATCCCAACTTCTGTGTTGTGCAGCCCCAAGATGCTCAAGGGGCAACAGTGGGGTTTATGGGCCTACTGTCCTTCCTTGGGATGCTGGGGAGCACCCAGGGCTTGCTCTGCCACACACCCCCAGTGGGATGAGCTTATCCCCTCCTGCAGCTGGGTTTGGATGTGCTCAGCAGCATATCCCACACACCAGGGCCTGGCAGCGCCTTGTCCTGGCTGCTGGGTGCAGTCCCAGCCTGGCTGAGCAGAGCTGAGGGTTTGGGCTCGGGGTGCCTGCCCTCAGCAGGGCACTGCCACAGCCGCAGCACCAGATTCCCTCTTTGCCCATCTTTCTGACCCAACACCAGGCATGCACCCCCAGATCCTGAGAGCAGCAGGTGCTGTCCATGGGCTGCTCAGGGAAGTGGCAGAGGCAGAGAGGAGCTGCTGTGCTGGCTCAGGCAGTGTGGGTGTGCAGGACAGGGCTTAGCTGAACAGGGGATGTGTCCCTGCAGAGCTCCCACTGATTCTCGTGCCCAGCCTGGCACAGGCTCAGCTCACGTCACTCTGGAAGGCAAACCAGCCCCAGCTCAGCACATCAGGAAGAGATGGAAATACCTCCAAGTGAGTTCTTTCCTCCTGCTTATTTCTTCTGAGCATTTCCCTGACTTTGGCTGAGGGAATGTGCTGTGCTGCTGTCACGAGAGCAGAGCTGGGGATCATCCCAGGTATCTGCCACCTCTCCAGTGCCAGCTTGTGCCTCTCCTGTGTATTTCTGTGCTCTGGGCACATCAGGCTCTGCTGCTCCACCCTGACCCTCCAGAGACATTGAAGGAATCCTGGCAAACCTGGTTTGTGGTGAAATCTGCAGCCAGGTCAGCCCTGCCTGGCTCTGCCATTGCCCTCCAGCCTCCCCCTGTGCCCTGCCAGGGATCAGCCCTGCCTCAGCCCAGCTGCTGGGATGGGCAGCCAGTGCATTACTGAAGTTCTCCCTAAAGGCTGGTAGAAAATGGGATTTGAGCCATTCCTTAGCCCAGACTGGCCCCCTGCTTTGTGTGTCCTGCTGGGCCGTGTGTGGCAGTGAGTCCTGGAGGGACAGGAACAGCAGCTGCTGGCTCTGGAGGCTGATGGTGCCAGGATTCACAGCTCAGGGGAGAGGAATTTGAAAGGGAACTTAATTCTGGTGGGTTTGCACCTTGTCAGGATCACTTGTTACTGCAGAAAGAATCCCCAGAGGCCCAAGGGGAGCAGGGTCACTCCCTGGGTGTCACACTCCAACAGGACATTGCTTTATGAGGATCCTCACATTGAGAAAAACACTTCATTCTCCTGTGAAAATGTAAAAAGTTTAATAAAGGACAATAGGAGACAAGGACCATGGAGCAAAGGTTATTAGGGCTGGGTGCATCTTGGCACCTAAGTGTTATCTTTGGGAATACCCCTTAAATACCTTTTAATTACATCAGCCCTTTGCATATTCACAGACCTTATGCACAGTAAACTTTTCCCCAAATTAGTTTACTAAGAATTGTTTAGCATATCTGCTCCTCAAATCTGTTTTTTAAGAGTATGTGTATTTTTTGGTTGTGGTTTTAGTCTATTTTTATTATTTCTAGTTTTAGGGCCTTGTTCCACACTGCGACACTTCATGGTGAGTGCTGATAGTTGGCACATCTGTAGTAGGGTCTTCTTCATATGTTTATTGAATGTTATCTCATCTAAGAAGGCAGTTTAATGCAAGTATAGCTATTTCACTAGTATGTCTAAGCTTAATTAACAACAGAAATAAAAACTGTATCTTTATAACAAAGTTACTTTTACACTACTCATATAAAATCCATTTTTATATTTGTGAAAAGCCAATATTATAATATGTATCTATAACAACATCATCAGGGAAAACCTGGTTAAAGCTCCTAAGGAAACACAGCTGGGATGTGCTGCTGGTCCTTTGTGACCTGCTGTGCCAGTCAGCCTGGAGGGTCCTAGGGCAGAGCAGAGCAGGGCCCAGCTCAGGAGCAGCAGGAGCAGCAGGACTTGTGGTGTGCCAGCCTTTCCCAAGGGGAAAAGCACAGGGTGAGGGGGTCCAATGGGCTCCACAGGGAAAACGCAGCCTGAGGGTCCTGCTGGGAGTGATGGGAGAGGGCTGGGAGCACTCAGGCACTGCCATGGGGGCAGTGGGTGTTTGTCTGTGTCCAGGGGTGAGGGATGGGCTCCCAGCCAGGCCCAGCTGCTCCTGCTGCCAGGATCCAGCTCCCCTCCCCTCCTGGGAATGAGGATTTGGAGGGGCAGCCCTGGGGGAGCACAGGGAAGATTTTGGGAACACCTGAGAGGGCCACAGCAGCACTCCCAGTGGTGCTGCCTCCAGCAGCCACTGTCACACAGTGTCCTGGTGTCCCTGTAGGGATTTTCCAGCCCAAATCCTGCAAAATGCATTAAAACTGAAGCTGGCAGTGGAGGCAGAGCTGTGACCCCACAAAGGACAGCTGGAATGGACACCCAGCAAAGGGCTCCAGGCCACTCCTTCCTGGTTTCACGTGGCCCAGGGAGTGACTGCAGAGGCACCCGAGTCCCTCGGTGGGTCCCAGCTCTTATCTGGACATTTGGGCTGCTGCCTGCAGCAGGAGAATTGTTTTCCTCCAGGGAACAGGGTGTTTCCAGCCCTGTGCAGAGCCTGTTCCCATCCAGCAGCTCAGGCTGCTGAAATGAAGCAGAGCTTGTGCTGACACCACTGGCAGTGGGATCTGCAGCCATGCCCAGGCTGCAGCCCTGAGCTCCTGGCACAGATAATGGCATTAGGAGGGCCAGGGAGACAGCAGCCCCACAGTGCTGCCAAGGGGCTGTGAAGGGGCCAGCCAGCTCCTGGAGAAGGGATGTTCTGCTCTGGAGATGGGATATCCTGCTCTGGAGATGGGATGTTCTGCTCTGGAGAAGGGATGTTCTGCTCTGGAGATGGGATATCCTGCTCTGGAGATGGGATGTTCTGCTCTGGAGAAGGGATGTTCTGCTCTGGAGAAGGGATGTTCTGCTCTGGAGATGGGATATCCTGCTCTGGAGATGGGATATTCTGCTCTGGAGATGGGATGTTCTGCTCTGGAGATGGGATATCCTGCTCTGGAGATGGGATGTCCTGCTCTGGAGATGGGATGTCCTGCTCTGGAGAAGGGGTGTCCTGCCCTAGAGAAGGGATGTCCTGCTCTGGAGCTGGTCCTGCTCCAGAGCTGAGGTGACCCTGTCCTGGGCAGTTCCATGTCCTCCTGTGGGGCTGGTGTGTGCCTGGAGCTGGCTTCGCTTGAGGCTGGGGACACACCAGGGCCAGGTAAATCCTCAGGAATGCCTTTTGGTTGGGTGCAGGGAAGGCTGGACCTCCAGGGTCCCTTGGCTAGGTCTCCTTGGTGTCCCCATGCTGGGCAGTTTGTCCTCAGCCCAAAGGAGCAGGATGAGCTCCTGCCCCTGCCCCATCCTGCTGCTTCCCATTGCTCTGGGATTTGGCTCCATGCCCTTGCAGAGGCAGGGCCCCAGCTGCTGGCACTGGGGGAGGCTGGGACAGACAGCAGGACCACCAGGACCACCAGGACCAGGCAAGACTTGGGGCAAGAAGCTGGGAATGAGATGCAGGAACAGGAGTTTCTCTGTGAGTCCTCCTGGGAGCAAAGTGCCCCCAGGGATAGGATGGAGACACCCATCCCTGATTCCCAGGGTGGCTCTGTGGGTGCTGCAGGTCCTGTGCAACCCCTGGGGTGCTCCCACAAGCTGCAGGTGCCAAGGCAGGGTGGGCAGCAGAGCCTGCAGTGCCTCTGAATGCAGCAAACCCTTTCCAAAGGAGGAACCCCGGGAGGATCCCTGCCAGGGCACTGAGTCCCCGCAGGGCCCCGCCGTGCCCGGCCCTGGCAGATGCCACATACATCACCCAGCTCACAGCCTGGTACTGGGGACAACAACAAACACTCATTCAGGGCTGTCTCTCAGCCAGCTCCTCTGCCAGTGGCTCCTCTTGCAGAAATGCAGCTGCAGCTTCACCCTGACCCTGGTTTCTCTTCCCTGCAGGTTCAGAAGATCGCAAGTTCTGCATCCTTTACCTGGCAGAGGTGAGTGCTGCTGGTTTCCACTTTAACCTTCCAGTGAGAGCTGGGCAGGTACTGACAGCTCTGATTCTTTCCTCTGGGGCAAGGAGCACTGAAAAAAATGATTTTAACTTCTCTTTAAATGAATTTGCCAGAAGCCTGGAAAAGAAACGTAATGGCTGTAGAATATGTGAATAAGAAGCTGCTAAAAGGAGCTTGGGTAGCACTAGGACAGGTTTCTTTTCCCCTTCTCCCTGTGGATCTTCCTTGAGACATCTCACTTTTGTTTTCTCTTAGGATTCTTACCCCTGGGGGCAGATTTCTTTGCCAAATGTTTTGTCATTATTTTTAGGTACCTTGCTTTTCTTGCCTTCAAACATCCAGGTTTGGAGCCCTCCAATAAAATAAGGAAGCCCAGTGTGAAAGCAAAATCACAGCTGTAAACCCACATGTAGCTGAGTGCTCTAAGCAGCTTTGGAGTCACCCAGACTGTGGCACAGTCCCTTTTGTCAAATCAAGGACTCTGCAGAGTTGGTTCTCACTGCACCTCCCTAACCATTGAAGGCCTTGGGTTTTTTTTGCTTTTGCAGTGACTTTGCTGTGTTCCTGCTTTCAAGGCCTTGCACTCTCTGAGGTGGGAAGGTGGGTCTGGGAAAGCTCCCCAGGGCACAGAGGAGAAAGGCAAACACTGCTGAGCAGCCCTGTGCAATAATGAGCCATTGTGAGGGCTGGGTGCAAATGCTCAGGGTGGAAGTTGTTCACCTTGAGAGGCTGGAGCTGGGCCAGGGCACGACTCACTGCAGAATCCTGCACTCCTCTCCTGTTCCTTCCTTCCTTGTCTGCTGTGTGCTCTGTGGCAGGGGCTGAGCCTCCCCTGGCTTTGCTCACTGTGTGTCCCAGGCAATGTCACCCTGGGCTGGGGACAGCTGGGCTGTGACTCAGCCAGGCTGGGCTGGGTGCTTGGATGAGTCTCTCCTGCATTTCTCAGGCACTTGGAAAAATGCACTCAGAGCCTGATGTTTGGTTTGGAAGCTTAGTGTCCCTAAGTAGAAGTGACCAAAACAGAGCTGGCTGTGTTTCATGAGATCCTGAGTTGTGAAGAGTGTCTTTGTCAGGCTGTAATGAAGGGCTGGGCTCTCTTCTGAGGGGCCTAATTGGCTGTGAGAGCTCTGGTGATGGAGATCCCTGGCATTGCTGTGGCTGGAGGGGAGCACTTGGATAGAAAATGTGAGAGTTTTGCTTTCCCACCTCCTGTTCCCTCACAGATTTCAACAGTTCTGGAGTGGCCACGCTGTGGGACTCTGCAAACCCTGGCTGCTCCTCCTGGGCTGCTTTGGGGCACTCACAAGGGCAGTGGAGCTTCCCAGCAACTCTGCCACGAGCTGGACCCCAGGGCTGGGTGATCCCCTCTGCACTGCCAGCCCAGCTCTGAGGTGACACTGGGCAGCCCTGGCTTGGGGACAGCAGCACCTGGCCAAGCAGGACATGCCCTGTGCCACCCTTCCCTCCCATCCCCATGGCTGTAAGAGCTGAAATGAGAGATGTGGGACTCCAGGGGCTCTCCAAAATGCACTTTATTGTATACAAAATGCAGTTTATTGTACACAAAATGCAGTTTATTGTATACAAAATGCAGTTTATTCCATCTGGGATGTTACAGCAGCCCAGGGCCGTGGGTGACAGAGCTGTGCCCACAGCTGTCAGCTCCAGCTGCAGGCAGGCCTGGAGACCCTTTGGTTTTGGTTACAATGCATTATAGACTTTTCCTTGCTCAGCATCTTAATACAGTAGAACCAATCTATACCTTAACTTTTATCTATAGCCTATCATAACTACTGTAATTACCATATTCATGTTACTGTTCTCCAATCACTAAAAGTCAGTACATCACAGATTAAGAAGAAGTTGTTTTTCAGTTTTCTTGCAGTGGAAAATTCTGAGACTTTGTTTTACTTGCAACTTTGCTGCCTTGTTTGCCTGTGCTCTCTTTCTGCTTGGTAAAAACATCATCTTGTTTGGGGTGGGTTTATCCTTTGCTCTGAGCCATAAAAACCCCTTCTAACTAACACACCCTTTGGCTCCTTGGTTAGTCAGTAAGATTGGCTCAGCAATTCTTTTCTTCTATATCAAAATTTGCTTCCATCTCTATTCCTTCCTCAGACTCTACATTTAAAAATCTTTCTGCTAAGCATCTGTGAGACCTTCTTGTCAAACTTTCATCCTTCCCAACACAAGGCTGCTGCTCTGCCCTCACCTGGCTCCAAGGTGGAGGGGACAGGAACCTGCCAGCTGTGGGTGCCCTGGGGCTCTCCAGCAGTGGGAAATTGGGGTTTGAAAGGGGAACAAGGTGGGGATGTGCCTGTGAGTCAGCAGTGAGCCAGGGCAGCATGGGGCTCTCCCAGCACACTTCTCTCAGACGTCTCTTCTGGGAAGCAGTGACCTGTGACATGCAAGTCACCTCCCCAGGAGCCACAGGGAGGGGGGACAGGGCTGCAGGGCTGGGGATGGGGCAGGAGAGCAGGAACCCCCAGATGTGCAGCACAGGGGCTGTGCCTTTGGCCCCAGGTGGAGAGTGAAAGGATGGGATGTTCTGGGAGCCAGCCTGGGAGCATTCCAGCATCTGATTCCTGCAGGAAAGCCAGAAAGAGCATCTCCTTCAGGTTATCTCTCTTTTCTTTTTGGCACTCACATTTTGGGAGCAGATCTTTGTTTACAGGCCTATGGGGTGTCACCAGGAGGCTGGGAGGGGACAGTCCCCTCAGAGGTGTCCCTGCAGGCTGGCTCTCACAGAAATACTGCAAGGGGACAGTGGGGAGGCTGTGGGCACCCCTCTGGCCTGGTGGGAGCCTGGGTTTGTGTGATAAGGTGATGTTTGCAGTGGGCCTGCTCTCAGTTGAGGGCTGGGCACTGGGAAGTGGCACTTGCAGCAGTCCTTGGGTCATCTCAGTGCAGCTCTCCCCAGCACCTGGCAGCTCTGGTGTCCAGCGGGTGCCACACTCTGCTTGTGGCACCTTCTTCTGCCCTGAAAAGCTCAGTCTCCTTCCTGGCTGTGGGAACAGCCTCTGCAAGGATGGGCTCTGCAAGGATGGGCTCCCCTGAGGGTCTGGCTGTGCCCTGGGGACAGGGAGTCCTTTTGAGAGGGGCTGGCTGTACCCTGGGGACAGAAATCCCTCTGGAGAGGGCTGGCTGTGCCCTGGGGACAGGGATTGCTCTGCAGAGGGGCTGGCTGTGCCCTGGGGACAGGGATTGCCCTGAGAGGGGCTGGCTGTGCCCTGGGGACAGGGATTGCTCTGCAGAGGGGCTGGCTGTGCCCTGGGGACAGGGATTGCTCTGCAGAGGGGCTGGCTGTGCCCTGGGGACAGGGATTGCCCTGAGAGGGGCTGGCTGTGCCCTGGGGACAGGGATTCCCTTTGAGAGGGGCTGGCTGTGCCCTGGGGACAGAAATCCCTCTGGAGAGGGCTGGCTGTGCCCTGGGGACAGGGATTGCTCTGCAGAGGGGCTGGCTGTGCTCTGGGGACAGGGATTGCCCTGAGAGGGGCTGGCTGTGCCCTGGGGACAGGGATTGCTCTGCAGAGGGGCTGGCTGTGCTCTGGGGACAGGGATTGCCCTGAGAGGGGCTGGCTGTGCTCTGGGGACAGGGATTGCTCTGCAGAGGGGCTGGCTGTGCTCTGGGGACAGGGATTGCCCTGAGAGGGGCTGGCTGTGCTCTGGGGACATGTTCAGGTTCCTGAGGGGGGTCAGGACTGTCTGGCTGCTCAGCCCTGGCAGCTGGAAGGGATGAGGATGGATAGGGGCAGGATGTGTGAGCTCTCATGGCATTTTGGCCCCGTGTCACCCTCAGGGGTCTCTCCCCATCGTGACCTGCTCCATCCCTGGCTCTGTGTGCCCTGAGCCTCTCCTGGCTCTGTCCCTGCTGCTGGTGGCCCAGGGGGGTTTGTGGCTGCTCTCAGCTGGGCTCCTGTCGCCCTGGGCTGGGCAGACACATCCATTGTGCTGCTGTGATGGGCTGGGAGGTCGGAGGAAGCTCTTGAGCTGCTGTTTGTTGCCCACAAATCATCTGCAATGAGCACTAATGTGTTTAGTGCTGCTGAGAGCTGAGAGGAGCCCACGGGGCCAGGCTGCCACTGCCTTTGCTGCTGGAAGAGCTCTCTGCTGAAGCCTTGAGCTGCAGCCTCCTGCTATTGCTCATCTTGAGGGTTTCTGAGTAATGTTCTGACCCATAAGGTCACAGATTTGCATCTGAATGTGACACATTACAAAACGAAAGTATGTTCTAATACCTGTGAGTTCCTTAATTTATTATAAACAAGAGAGAAAATTCCAACCTTCAGGAAGTGTCACAAAAAAAGCTTCTGCTGCTCATCCTGTCTAATTGTGTGTAATAAATCACTGCACAGAGTTGGAACCCTGGGCAGTGTGGCTGTTTGCAGGCAGAGCTAGCAGGAGCTGCAGAGCCTGCTGTGGGTTCCAGCATGAAGGGTGTTTGTTTTTCAGCCTGTGCAAGGTGAAAACTGCAGGGTTTGGAGATCCTGAGTGAACATGGACCCGGTTCTGGAGGGGCACTTGGCATGCTGGAAAGGCTGAATGTAGAATGGGATTGGAAAGGATGTGAGAGCAGAGGGAGGCTCTGCGGGGGTTTGGTTCCTTCTGGTGGCTGTGATGGCCCCAGCACAGACATGAGCCAGGATTTTGGAGGTGGAGGTGGCACCTTTAGATCTCAGGAATGCCTGAGTGTGTACCTGGGATCACAGAGTCCCAGAACAGCCAAGGCAGGGGCACCTGGGGCAGGTGGCACAGGAAAGTGTCCACGTGTCTCCAGAGAGGGACACCCCACACCCTCCCTGGGCAGCTGTTCCAGAGCTCCGCCACCCTCATGGAGAGTTGCTCTTCCTCATGTTGGGTGGAACTCCTGGTGTTTCAGTTGATGGCCATTACAGCTCCTCTGTTTTTTCTGTTTGCCAGCTGAAATGTTAAAAACTCCTGGCAGTGCACTGAGACCCTGCCTGGGCCATCTTTCCTTTTGG